TTTCCTTTTGATTGCTGAGTAGCGTTCCATTGTATAATCAGACTACAATTGGTTTATCCATCCTCCTGTAGGTTGTGACTTGATGTGGGACAATTGTGAATAAAGATGCTTTGGACATTCTCCTTCAAGTCTTTGGATGAATATTCATTTTTGTACCTAGAAGTGAATTTATAGGGCAATGTGTGTTCAATTTTATAGGAAAACATAACTATTTTCCCAAATGACAGTGCCATTTCACATTTCATACGTAAGAAATACACTTCTTGCACATCCTTACCAATACATGCTTTGGCTGGTTTTAAACATTTCTGCATTCTGGTGAACGTGTCCTTATGGTTTTATTTGCATTTTCCTGATGACTCATGATATCAAAGATTTAGTGAAATTCTTCACTAAGGATGTATGCTGTCCATTTTTTAATGACCTCTGTCATTTTATTAAGCTACAGATAACAGGTCATATTTTAAAGTAATCTTGAAAATAGTTTTTAGAAACATATTCTGGCTCACATTTCATCAATGCCTTACCCATAAGTATACCACATCATATTCCTAAGCATGATCAGCCCATTACCAATGAGTCGTTTCCAAATCATTAACAACCCTAGAGGTTGGAGAGGAATTCTGTAGTAGGGTTGCCAAAGCTGTGAACTTTGCAGAAGCAAACTGCCACAGCTTTCTCCAATGGAGTGGCTGGTAGGTCCAAGTTAGCAGAGAATAACGTAACCACTGCCCCACTAGGGTCCTTAAGCCCAAACAATTCAAACCTATTGCCATCAAGTCAATCCCAACTCATAGCCACTCTACCAGACAGAGTACAAACTGCCTCCATAGGTTTTCCAAGACTGTAAATCTTCATGTAAATGTTAGGTCTCTCAGGTGGGTAATACCTTGCTTCTTGCCTTTGCATGGGAAACAATTCATGCCAAAGCCAGCTTTGTAATCCAAGTGGGTTTTTATAAAGGACGGGAGAAGTTTCCAGTTTTACAGTCTCAAAAGAGTACATACTATTTCAGGGAAGCACGCCAAACCACGCGGAAGCCACACTGGGGCTCACAACGGAACCTGGGCAGCGTCATTTCACTGCACACCCACATGTGTTGACCTGAGGCCAGAGAGACCGCAGCACGGCCAAGCAGGCACAGAAGCAGGGTAAAAGGGCCCACCTTCCTGCTGCCATGGTAGTTCTTTGGCTGAATTAAGCCCACCTGGGTGGGCTCATGAGCCTGTGTCTAGTTTGCCACAGCCAGGTGTAATGCCCTCCTGGCTCAGAGGACCTGAATTGGAGCACCCCTAGTTCATGTCTTCGTAGATATTTAATAGATAGCACTAACTAAGAGAGAATGTATTGACCCAATCTCCAATATCATGCACAACCAGGGTTCCAGGCCAGGGACAGCAATCCTTTGCTGCTGGGCCCATGTGGCTGGGTTGCTTCGTCCAGGTACCAGGTGAAGACAGGTCCCTCTCCTCTTGAGTTTCCCTGTAGGGCAAAGCACTGTCAGTGGCCAGTTTGTTTGCACTGATAGCATGGACCTTGGGGAGGTCTGTTTCTGATAGGGCAAACTTTGCCCGGTGGCACAATTACAATCCCAACCAGGGTCAGGAGTAGCACAGCTGTTTCTCCTATTGGGCACTCACTGATCATTCATCACACGTAAACTTTCTACACGTTTCCTAGCAGCTTTTAGCACTCGTTCTTTCTCAAAGTCTGTCATAGTCTGTACCCAGCTGTCTCTATTAAGGGTGGAACTTTGGCTGGGTCACCTGTTTCCCCAGCCTATAGAGCAGTGGTTCTCAACCTTCCTTTAATACCGTTCCTCGTGTTGTGCTGACCCCCTAACTATAAACTTATTCTTGTTATTACTTCATAGCTGTAATTGTGCTACTGTTGTGAATCGGGCGACCACCTGTGAAAGGGTCTTTTGACACCCCCCCCCAAAGGGGTTGCGACCCACAGGTTAAGAACCGCTGCTGTACAGGTTCAGGGTCTGACTGTGCTGCAGCTGAGCTTGGAGTAGAGTGGCCTTCAGTTCCATGGCCCCTCGGGGGAGGGTACACTAGGAACAAAGGTGGTACTGCTTCCCAAGAGGAAAGAGGCTTTACGAGAAGGGGTTCCTCCCACTGTCCTTTCCTTGTGCAGACCCCTTCCAGCTGAATCAGGGTCGGAAGGGAAAGTGTGCCCTGCTTGGGCCAGGATGCCCCATCACTGAGCATGTACTGGCCAGATGGGGTCGCAGACTGAGATGAACTTCTGTTTCCCCAGCGTCTGCAGGTATCCCAGTTAGACAGGACACAATGTAGGGCACCGAACCGCCAAGGCCCATCTAGAAAAGACAACCAACAGACAAGTCAGGAGACCTCGATGCCTCAGGGTCCTAACTACACTTCCAGCGTGCGCCGCTAGGGGCCCTGGAACTGGGGCCTCGTGCAGGTGCCCCTGCCAGAGGCACAGTTTGGGGGGGCGGGGCGTCCAGCCTCTGCCCCGAAACTGGGCCCCGACTGTTTTGTAGACATCAAGCGCAGACCACCAGCTTGGGTGACCATACCGGGCCAACGGAGTCAGTAGCTGGCATGAGTAATTCCCCGGACCTCTGAAGGCAAGACCACTGCGGGGAGTGGCCTTCCAATAGCCTTCAAAGGCGACCCCTGGCATGAGCGGCCTCGCCACAACGCTGGTAAGAACCGCAGGAGAGACCTGTCAATCGGCTCAGGGAACATTCTAGGGAAATTGGGATCCTTGGCTGGATACATACTTTGACACCCGAGCTGTACCATGAACGCGCATGTCCCAGGGGCCGGAGGCGTTGGCGCTGAAAAGCCTTTGAATCCACCAGTGGTAGCAGTTATTCAGGGGCCTGGCTTTCCAATGCCTTTCCCCCAGGTTTTGGCAAAGGAAAACCAGCCAGTGGGAAACACCGAACCAGCCCACGGGCAGGAAGCTAAAGCAAACCCCCAAACAGGCAGGACCAAGCAGATTGCATGTGAAACCAGGAGAAAACAGGGGAGGGTGTGGGGAGGGGGATCTGTGGGGTAACCCAGGCCAAGCCCCGGGAAACTGGACAGTGCTGGCACACTCGGCAGCCCCCCACGCGGTTGAAGCCCAGGGCATCATCTTGCAGAGGTCGGCAGCAGGCCAAGTGCTCAGTGGCCCGGAAACAAGAGGGTGGTGGACACGGGGTGATGCCACCTTGTTGGGGACTGCAGAATCACGTAGTCGGCTCCCCTGCAAGGAAGCTGGCAGCCGCCGGGTGCAGCCAAGTCCGGAGTTGGCAGAGGGCAAGCTACAGGAACCAGCATCCCACAGAGAACAACAACTCGGTTGACCTGTGCGCACGGCTGTCTTGCTAGAAGGAACACAGAGCGAACCAACTCTAAAAAGTCAAACGGCTTTGGGGACCGGAATTCCCCACCACATCCCAGGAAGCAAGGCTG